AATTTCCTAATTTTAGAAAGGAAGAAAAGGTGAGAATAAAGCAATGGATCAATTAAATAATCTGCAAGTCTTTCTATAAAAATCGAATATGCGGCCAAATTAAGAGGAAACAGTAACGAGGGTAAAATTGTAATTACTAGATTACCAGTAATTGTAATTACTAGATTACAAATGGAATGTATATGATAATGTATATACAACAAAATAACTTGCTTTTTCCTGTTTCTGCATTGACAGTGGGCAAAAAGCCCATCGAAACTTGACTGTTCCGTGCAACCAGATTTATTGTCATCCAGTGAAATATTATATGATTGTCGTCGTTCTGGAACTTTTAAAACTTTGTATGCTGTAGTCAGTTCGACGAATGCATCATTGCGTCGTTTCACCTCTTGATCATTTGAGCAATTCTTCCTGTCTGGATGTAACTAAACCTTGGTTCTTTTTTCTTCACTCATTAAGTTCCGAAAACAGCATGAAATCATGCAATTTCGACTGTTTTCATTTCTACACATTTCCTTTAAAAAAAAAAAAAATTTAAAGTTTCATGATACAGGACTTCCTGCCGTTTCCGTCATCAAAAACGAATTTTCCCAACTGCTTAACACCTAGAACTACAGAATTCGCCAAAATTTCACCAATGAATTAAAGACGAAAGCTTCGTCATAATTATTATTGGGGACGAACTCATTATCTTATGCCAAAAGTGGAAAACCTGTTCCTAATAGTCATAAAATATAAAAGCTCAAATCACTTTTCACTTTTCATTACATGAAATTTGATGTATACTTACTTCTTTCGACCTTTCATAATAAGCTCTCTTAATTTCTGTCTGTGTGGCGTCCTTTGAAACACCAAGTATTTCGTAATATGTGGGACTGCAAAATTATTCATGACTATAACTAGCATTTCAGCTACTTAAAAGAAATATTTTTAGTTATGCTGGTGACAGAACATATTCTACTCTAATAGGTAATTATTCTATCTCGCCAAAATGCTTAAAAGTTTGTGAATCTGAAAAAACACTTTTTTGTATAATAGACCAATTGCTGCCTCCACGTAACTAATCCCAACAATATTTGCTGCATGTTTCGCTGCCACCGTCCAGAGAAAAAAAGCATGAAAGAGCTGCAATACTGGAGAAAGTTTTAATTACTTCACACTTCACTATTTTTTTGTGTTGGGATCCTATTGCAAGCACACTGACCAGTACGAAATTAGAACAACAAACAATACCATACAATGATAGAAAAGTAATTTAAAACGGATATGAACTGCATTATTCCGGAAGAGTTGAAAAGACAGCCCAAAATAGACAAATCGAAGGCTGTGCAATTTGATTATGTTTGGCTCTCGAAAGTACTGGAAAGAGAAAGGGAAAAAAAGATGAAAGAGACAACAAATCCCCCGCAAAACAAAAAAATTAAGGTAACGTAAATTAAACATTTATCCTAAACTAAATATTTCCAATTACTGATAAACTGTTAGACATATTTTTTATTCATTGATGAAAGCAAAAGATTTTTGTCAAGAGGCGATGTATCTCGCGGTTCTTTTCAAGCTTTCACATCTCACAGTACTTCTCCTAACAATTCACTCTCTTATAGGTACTTCGTAACGACTTAAACTGCTAAATTTAAGCCTTCGACATCGATTTAATCACAAACACTCCCGACCTAGTTCTAGTCATCATGACTCGCAATGTTTCACTAGCGTTGCATGCTGCGAGCTATGAAAGAGAGTTCTCAGGAAGGGAACAGTGGAGGATAGGTGATCATAAGCTCTTGAGGTCAAATTTCTCTGTGCTTACTACTCTGCGTAGGTTAATTCTTTAGAATTTATTAAGATGCTCTGTCAGGTGGACGAATTGAGTTCGGTGAATAATAACACTAATAGTTAAATATGCGATTTCTTCGATATATACGCAGAGATAAAAAGTAAGACATCCCTCGAAGATATGACTTTATGTCTTCCGGTGAAAAAATTGGTATAAAATCTGGTCTTTTCGGGGAAATATGATGTCCCTGTTATGAGTGTGAGAAATAGATGGCAATATGCTGATATGCCATTTGCGACGTAGATATAAACTTCTGTCTTTCTTTAAGACATCGATGGGCTGTGATATCCGGCCACTTATCTTCTTTGGTTATATTTTACCACATTGTCATATCGCTTCGCCGGAACCCATAAATCAACGGTTTACATAACACACTTCAAGTAATAATGTTATTCATTTTCTCGAATCAGTTTATTCAGCCTTAATGAAAACAGCAATAAATACATTGAGCTTTTTAAACTTTTTCAACAATTAAAATCAGTTCTTTTGTTTGTTTTTTAGCCAAACGAATTTCACTGGTCATCTTAATGGATCAATTTCCACTTAAATTGTAGAAAGGAATTGAACAGGCGTCTTATCCTACACTTCCATCTAATTTGCCATTTTTGAATGTTATGAACATTTTTATGGCTATTTTTGAAGCGTTTCATTAATAAAACGTTAAGTAATTGTTGAAACTCTAAAGTGCAGAAATAAGTAAGAAAACAGGAGCAAAATATAAATTAATGAAAAGTTTACAATGTAATTTATAAATCAGTGGGAAGGGAAGTGGATTCCTTTCTGATTTAAAATTTTAAATGGGCAGTTTACAAGTTGGAGGTTATCAATACTATTCATGAAGACCATAAATTAATATTAGATAACGTGATAACCGAGACATATGAAAGAGTTGGGGACTGATCTGATGATTTTCCTAGCAACAACTGCATCATATTAGGTTGCAGAAGAAAAAATCCAGTCATCAAAGTTTTCAAACAAAGCGACACTTTCCAAACAAGCATAAACTTTAACTCGTAGAACATGAAAGTTGGTTGGATTACTCACTCGCATTTTAAATGAAATTTAATTTGAAAAGAAAACAGAAATGTTGGGTATTAATTACATCATCGTTTGATGATCTCTTTCGAATACAATGAAGAAATAATCCAATTCATTCCGATCGTTTCATTCACATTCATGTCCTTTCACGGTAACGTATGTTCCGAAACACCACTACTGTTATTGCAATGACAGTGCAGAGTGCTATCTGCAAAGCTAACTCAAATTTCATTCAAATATTTAAGCTGTTTTTCTAAAAGCTAGCTAGGAGCTACTTTATGGATATTAATTATTGATTACTCCTTCAATCTGTTTACAAAATCTTTGGTGAAGTCCTGCTTAACTGGCAAAAAGTTCTCGTTTTTCTCTTTATTTATGTGCTGCTAGTATTTTCAACTTTTCGAGGATCAACATTTATAAAATTTCCAGTGAAAATTAACTTTTATATAAACTAAAATAAGTTCGTGCAAGTCATAAGTTTTTCTATGGAGAAAATAAAAGGAAATTATATATCGTCTTGCTTCTTTAGTAGCATAATTTGCAATTTAATTCTCCCACATTTATTAAAAAATCTCGTTCTTTTATGAATAATTCATTTCTCTTACTAACAACGCTTAGAAAAATAGGCAGAAATTTTTAATATTGAACATTTCGCGAAGAGTAATACTGAAAGACTCAAATAGTGATCTGAATAAATCAATAAGAATTAACCAAAATAGTGAAGGGAGCGACCAGAACAAAAAAAATCCATGTTACGCAAACAATGTCATCATTATCCACTCCATTAACAATTGCCTCCGGTAAACAATGACAACCTCTCCTGAATCCTCATTATCAAAATATAATATAATATATTTTGTTCATTGTATAACGCTCAACTTAATTCAGTAGTTAATTAAGCAATCAATTAACAACTGCTCATAGAGCGATGTGTGTTATGCGTTGTGAACTTTCACGTATTATTCCTCCGACGATCTGTTTTCGGTTAAAACAAAAGCAATCGTAGATGGGTCTAAGAACTCACTTTCGAAATTGCCTATCGAAGTCTCGAATTTCGAGTGGTTGTGAAACAGTATCCAATATTAGTGTTTCATCGTTCTCAATCATATAAAGCAAATCCCTCCTGTAAATTTCTTGTAGAAAATAAACAATCATTCTCTTCTTAAGCTGATAGCCATTCTAGATGATAGTTTTAGCATTCGTAAACTGTCATCCTTCATTAAAATTATAGAAAGGAAAAGTAAATTGGGCTTTGTCATTTCCAATTATTAATTTAAACTGAGTTTATCTTTAATCTCATCCTTTTCGAGCTTTTCTCTGAGAAAAAATTATCAGAAGCAAGAAATTATTCTTCCGATAATTATCAATTGATTCCCAAATAAAACAAAGTAACATACTCATTTCTATGATTGCTAGGACAGCTCGGTTTAGGACACTGACCAGCTTTTGGCGGTAACAAGCTTATTTGACATTGAAAATATACGTAAGGTTTCTCAGCAACGCCAAAAACAGACACGTTTTGTTCAACATTCATCTGCAAAAAAAAGTCTAGTTTTCTTGAAGTGAATAAGTGGGAAATTTCTTCTTTCAAATCCATAAATTCACATTTTATTTTAATGTCATTCTTCTAAAACTTGCAAAATCCGATTCAAGTGGAATTCATTGCATTCAATAATTTTCTTCTTCATAAAAAAATCTCAAGAGAAAAGAATGCATACATTGTCGATGTAAATTAGATCTAGAAGAATGGTACGATCTATGGAACATCCTTGGTTATTAATAAGTTGATGCTTTGAATCACGCGCCATCAAGAAACAATTAGTGATAACAAGACATAAATTTTGATCCGAACGAACTCTGCAGGACCAGCGGTGGCGGACCATTTCACCGATGATCGCTTCATCCACAATCTCATTGTCTTTCAAGCTTCGTATCTCATATTTGCACTGCGGCATTGATGCCGATCCACGGAAAGCATCTACAAAAGGAAGGAAAAAATTAGATTCAAGTACTACTGGATAGCGGATCTATAGCTAATGTAGGTTTAGTAAGTGCTTATAGGCTTACTACCGATGGAAGTGCGAGAATGACACATCACTAGTCCACTGGTCACTACATTTTGAGGTGTAGCAGTTTGTGGTGCGACGATAGCTGATTTTGCAAATGCAAAGATTTTAATTTCAACTAGGGGGGTCTAAACTCATTTTAATTCATCAAATCTGCAAAAATAAAAGAAATTTCACTAGTAGGAATGATAGGAGGTACGACTGATCCCGGTAGTAATGATTGATCTGATGCTCGAGTATGCAAGCATCGCAGAAGGTAGACTCGATCACCAGCAGTAACGTAATGAGGATGAAATGATATCAGTACTGATGTTGCGATTATTACACCTACTGGCCTTAATGACCTGAAAAAAGTAAATCACTCAATCTTAATTCGGACCAAAACCAGGTATGTCTCTTTAAGTTAATTTAATGTTGCCCAAAAAATTTGCTTGGAATGCTCAGAAACATAATTCAAGCACAATTCAATTAAGAAGCTCAGAATGAAGCTTGAAATTAGTTACATTACACAGTTATTCGGATATCAAAGCTATTACAATATTTCAGCATTTATTTTCCCATTTCATTTTTTAATGCTTTTGCCTGAAATCAATATTACTACAAAGAATCAACTCCAGTTGAATACTTCACTCATTCAGCTCATAAGAGTTCGTAATTGGTCATTTTGTAAAACTTAATTCTATTAAAGAATGATTATTATAAATGAAAATTTGTTGGAAATATTTTTTAAGAATTATTTTGAACTTCGAAAGGAAATGTTGTGCATACAAAATCTTCTCCTTAACCATACCCACTTTTGTCCTTTTTCCCATTAATAATAGTGACGAATTCATAATAAGAGAAAACCGCGTAATTATTGAAATTTGGCTGAAATTTGCATAATGGATTAATAAATAAGATTAAGGACTATAACGGTATTCTGAACAACAATATATCATACATTTTGATTTACTTATTCAATGTTTATGGAATAATTTAAAATTCAGAAATTTTGATTTAGCGCTCGGCTGAATCAACTTTAGTACAAAATCCTGAAAAGCTTAAGTAATTAGAAGAATGCTTGGAGATTCGTCTTCTACTCTGCGAGAAGCGCAATTTAGTAATTTTGAAAAAAAATGAAATTACTGCAATTTTGGATCGAAAAAAGGATAGCTAAAGAATGTTGAATGTTTTTTTGTGAATGTACTTATCTCAGAAAACATTAATCATTAGTAAAAAATGAGAGAAGTATAAAGAAGCGAGGAGAAGCTTTTGATCCTTTTTCTCCTCCAATTTCACAAGCGCCTTTTTGCTTCTTTTCTCGAATCATTATATTATTTTTGCGGCTAAAATAAGCCTTCCTCTGCAGCCATCATACATATATGAATAATTCTACAGCGATACATATGTTGGATGCAACAGAAAAGGCTAAATTTTGTGGCATTCAACAGCGAAATTGATGCAAAAATGTCGATAATGATACAGTGAGAAGCCCAATTGAGCATAAAACTTCCTCATCGTCCAATTCTTCGCATCAATTAATTTTTTCAAAATAAGGAAGTAACATGGAATTGATGCATATTATTGCAATCTATAGATTGACAAATTTCATCATTGAAGTAAAATTATTTGGAAATTAAAGATGTGGATAGACAGATATTCTTCTAATCTGTGATGAAATTTCTGTAAAATATTTACTAGAGGGTATCGGCAAACTTGGTAATTAAAACTGGTTGGCAAAGATAGTGGGGAAAACAAAAAGAAAAATAGAAAAAATTTTCTTAAATCTGCTTCTGTTGTTCAGAGGTAAAATTTTAGCCTCCCAACAGATTTTTACTGTTTTCCTTGTAGAAATTTCCGTCCCCTTATTTACCTTTCTCTCGAATTCACTTTAAAATTTCTTCACCAAAAGTACAAATTTTCAGTAATCCATAAGCTTCTGTTTATTTCGAAACCTCGAAAGTTATTTATTAAGAAAATCCGGAATTTCAGTAAGTTCCCCCTTGGAATTGATGAAAAACCAGGCTTTCCAGGTTAAAGATATTTTAAAGGAAAACCTATATTCAGCAGTTTCCAAATTTGAAAATCAACTAATCTTTACTCCTAAATTCTCCCAATAACTTTAATAAGCAATTTGCTTCAAGAAGTTATAAAGCACTAAAGGACAGAAGCACAGTCATTTGCTTTTAATGGATAAAGGTGCATGATATCATAGAATAAATTTAAGAATGTATGGTTGATAAATTTAAACTAATCACCAACCTTAGACTGTAATATTCTTCAGAAAATGATTACAGTAGGATACTAATTAACTGCTCCTAATTGTTAAATGTTAAAATGAGTAACTGTCAAGCAATCTTAACAGTAGAATAAGTTGTAAAAAAGGATCGGACAAATAAAAAAATGTTAATTGTAGTCATTAAATTCTAAGCACACAAAATCGATGATTACTTCATCCAGTATAAGAAGAAAAAAAAATTTTTTTTCCACGAAAAAGACGTTGTGAAATATTTTGTAAAATAAATTTAATTCAAATTAGTGGACAAATGTATCCAATAACAGTGTAAAAGTTTCATTCGGTTTTTTGAAAGGCTTATGCTAGAAATCATCATTTTAACCTTATGAAATAACACTTTAAAGAAAAGTTAGAACATAAACTAACCTTGTTCTGCTCACTTGACAGTCCAGATGTGGGATGAGCAACTCTATTTGATTATTTGTTACCAGCACTTGATAGCAGAAACGATTCGGCGCATGTCGCACATTCACATGACCGACAAAGGTCATGTTTGTTCTCCATTTCACATATATCGCATCTGCTGAGCAACTGAAACGGTAATGACTCTAATAAATTCAAAACCGTAAAAAATATCCTTATCTGAAATGGCTAAAATATTGACTAATTGTAGGTGAGCAAAGTAGAAGCTTAAGCAATATTCAGCATTTTATTGTTTCAAACAGTATTATTTAAGGTCTGTTTTGAAAGTGGGTTGAAAACTTAAGGTCTGTTTTTTTGAAAATAGACAGTAAATCATGTGTTGAATTCCAATTAAAAATCTTCAGGAAATGTAAAATTCTATAAATTTCACGATTTTATTTGACCTATTAAACAATGCCTCATTCTATCAAATCAAGTTTTCGGACTTAATTTGTATCGTCCAGGGGAACCGCCATCTATATAGCGCAAAAATTACTTTTAATCTCTGAAATGATAACTAATCACTTTCTATGTCCATTGATCACTCAATTCTTTACCAATTTTTAGAAGCGTTAAAATCTTCAATCCCAACAAATATGTTAACTTGGATGGGCTCATTAATTTTTTAAAAGAAAAATTTTAAATGATCACAAAAAAGGAATAAATGAGTTTGAGAGATTTGTTGGGACGATTAGAAAATGGGAAAAATATTCTTTCATTTCATTTTCCTATTGCTTTGATAAATGATTTTTTTTAAAAAAGAAAAAATGAAAAATGGTAATGGTATTGTTATACATAATTGCCCATTTCCATGGATCACTTATTTCTACACTAATTTTTGGAAACGATCGAATTTTAAATGACTTCTAATGGAGCGCTGATGAAATGGCCTTATCTGAAGATATTATAAAAGCTTCAACAATGCCAAAAATTCGAAGATATACTAAATAAACCTGATATAGCTTTTCCGATTTAATTCTTCGTGTTATTTCTCGCAATACCATTTTTTTCTATCTCCGTTTTTTTTTTCCCGGGAATTTTTTGTCTTTGCCTCCTCGTCTTTATTTTCAATTTTTTTCCTTACGCTAAGATTACAATAAGTTTTATTTTTCTAGCTCGAAATTTCCCTCGAAGTTAGAAATTTTATAATTCAATCACGTATTTGCATAAGACCTTGCGCTTCTACATTGCAACCCTAACTTGAATTCGGATAATACCGGAAACACATTTAGATTATTCAAATATACGATTTATATTTCGAGATAAACACTGATATAGAAA